ACTGCCTCCCTCCCTCTCCTGGTGCCTCAGCTCTGTCCTCCAGCCCACACGGCCTCCCTCTATCTGTCTCCTAGTGCCACAGATCCGCCCACTGGCCCCCCGTGCCCCGTCTCTTACCCTCAGGGCCTCCAGCTCCTTGTCCTTCTCCTCACGCAGGCTGCTGATCATCTCCATGTGGTATCTGGAGATCTCTTCAGACTTGGCCTGGAAGCTGGGGCTGGTGCACTGACCAGACAGCTGGAGAGAGGGAGGAGGAGAGGAGAGAAACACAACAGATGTTACACGAGCTGCATTCCCCCCCCACCATACACTCCCTAAAGCCCTGCCTTCCTGTCTGTGTGCTGTATCTACCTGCAGACTTAGACACTTATCGATCAGTACACTTGTCCTGCACTGATCGATGGGCAGTAAGCTTTGCCCCAGGGGTCTCTCCGTACCTTCTGCCGGAGAATCTCGTTCTCCTGCTCCAGCGCCTTCTTGCTGCACTCCAGCTCCTTGAGCCGGTAATCCCGGTCGGACTCCGTGTGCTTGGTGGTGAGGAGCTGGCTCTCCAGGCTGCGCTGCACCATGGCGCTCTCCTTCAGCGACAGCTGTGAAACACGGAGCCAGCCAGTGCGTCAGACAGGCAGGCAGGCCACACCGCCAGAACGCGCCAGCGACGGGGGCTGCCGAGACAGGACTGACGACACTTTCATCATCGCCGACTAGCTGGGAAACACGGCCACGCAGCTTCGCTTACATTGCCTAGAGACATATAGATGGACTGCACCGGTCTCCCATAGAAGATCCACCAGCCAGTGACACAGGGGTACGAATACAGGTTACAAACACGCAGAGGCCACTCAGCCCATCGGACCTGTAGCTAATAAGTACTGGAAATGGCTAATTAATTACTAATACAACTCATCTCATTCAGCCATTGCTTGAACGAAGCCTTGATATTGGCTGCAGAAACACAGCTGGGAGGGTAAAGGTAAAGAAGTTTCTCTTGTTCTCGGTATTAAACGTAGTTTCCCCTGTGTGATCCCAGTGTCACTGCAGATTCTGAAGACAGCTGGTAGGTGGTCTTTATCAGTTCCTTCAAGAATACTTATTTCACGCCTCCTTGCAGTCCTCTCTGTTCAACACCACTAAAGAGGTTCAGTTCCATCACCCTGCCAGTATAGGACAGTCCCTTAAGCCCCAGAATGTATCTGATTGCTCTTGTCTGGATGGACCACAGAGCAGCAGCAATAGCTCTAGTTATGAAACACGGTGACCAAAATTGTACACAATATCCTACATGAATGCTGGTCAGGAAGGGAACACGCATCAAGATGAAATCAGTTCCACCTTGCCTCTCTCTGTCTATGAATAGAGAGGACTGGATGACCTCTGACCTATCTGGCCTATGCAACCCCCCCAAGCCACGCCCCCAGTACCTGCAGCTGGCGGTTATTCTCGCGGACGGACTCCAGGAGCCGGTCGTACTGCTGGGCCTGGTCAGCCTTGAAGCTGAGGTCGCTCTCCAGACTCTCCTTGTCCATCTCCAGCCTCTGTCATTGCAGGGGGAACAGAGGCGGTCAACCAGCAACGGGGGGTCAAGTGCAGGTCACGGGACAACACAGGCCTTGTTTTTTTAACACCTAGTGCAAAGCGCTTTGAGATAGACCTTTAAAGACATTATATCAAATAAATCATTATTAATATTATAGTATTCATCTCTACCTGGAGGTCCTGCTGCAGGTGCATGAGCTCCTCCCTCAGGCTGCTGAAAGTGGACAGCAGCAGACGGAGAGTCTTGTCAGCGGTCATCCGGGTCTGAGAGAGGGAGAGAGAGCGCATCACCGTGCTGCACAGCACCGTCCGAAAACAATCACCCGCAGGAGCCGGAGAAACGGAGACAGGGCGCAGGAGAGACGGCCATGCCCACCTCCAGCAGGTAGCGGATCTGCTGCTTGGTCAGTTCGGATGCATCCTTCGGGATCAAACCCTCCACCTGCTCTTTCTCCGCCTACGGATGGATGAACAGACAGATTTGCTGCTGCACTGTCCTTTTAAAGCTCAACCACAGCTTTATCTTCTATTGGTCCCTGGTCCCGGCTGGCATCTGACTACGCATGGAAAAGCATTTTATTCCCTGCAGAGGGACACTAGGAATGGGAATGTACAACAGGAATTGACTACTCCCACTGCCAGTAACACAGAGGGCCACATGCATCCAAATTCTCTCCCACAGCATGCCAGCACCTGTCTCTCAATTAATAAGACAAACACAACTGGCCTTTCAGGGTAATGACAATGTATTAAGATTTTTTTTCTTGTGCATAAAAACTACCATAAACTTTAAAGCATGGCAGAAAAAACTTCACTTTTGGCCCAGTGTCTGAAACCTGGAAGAACAATGTATCCAGAAATCCATACAGTTATCTGAAAAGCTGAGAAATCCATAGCCGAGTGGAAATTTCTGCGAAAAACTTTATTTCGTAATAAACAAAAGTGTTGAGGAAGTCAGAAATCCCGGGATATTGTTTTTCCACAGCCCTGCTGTTGTTCTATTGCATGAAAATGCTGAGGTGCACCTTCCTACCTTATAGTCAATTGTGTTGTCCAGGTGGTGTTTCCTGCAAACATAAAAATCACACAGTGTCGTCAGTTCAGCTGCCAGACCGCTAGGGGGCGATGGGGGGAGCGTGGTCTGTTTATTGAGAGGAGCAGGGCCAAGGAACTGCCCCTTTCTCCACTGAGCGCCACACTGACAGAGAGTCGCAACACAAACAGCAAATCAATGACAATCTGGGTACAGCTCACAGGCACACACACACACAGCCAAATCACAACCCTGTCAGGAGTAAAGGTTTCTGTTTGCGTTGCGAGTCACCTCTCACAGATAAGACCAAAACCCCTCTCCCCTGGAATTTGCATGTGAACATTGCAGTTTGTAGAAAATGTCCTCATTAAAAGTGCCCAGCACCTTCAAGGACAGTTTTCAACGCTAACAAATGAATCTGGGAAAAAAAGGCCCATTGTTGGCTGAAGGGATTTTTGTTGCAAATGTCTTGCTTTGGCAACACTGTAATTCATCAGTCGTGCCAATAAATCTTATTGAATTTAAATTTGTGAGGGAGAGGACACATAGGGAGGAGGGGAGAGTCGAGGGAGACCGTGGACAGAGAGGAGGAGG